GGGAAGCCTGCTTCTCCCTCTCCCACTCCCCCTGCTTGTGTTCCTGCTCTCGCTATGTCTCTCTCTATCAAATAAATAAATAAAATCTTAAAAAAAAAAAAAAGTAAACCATTCCGTCAGGAGGTACAAGGATTCTGCATTGCACTGAAAATGGGGCTTCCCGGAATACCTTAGATTTGTCTGTCAGAGACTCCAGATACGAATGGTTTCCATAGGGAACAAGTCGGTACCTAAAATGGAGATGCACGTGGAGATGGATATAGGACTCCTGCTAAAGTGATTACTGGAATGTTATAACCCAGTGATTTTCAGGCTTCATCCTACCCAAGGACTACTTTTATTATTCCCACCCCTCTCTCTCATCTCCCCATAGACTCCGTGTTTAAAAGATGTTGTTTACCGAACAAACTACATTTATTACATAATCGTCTGGGGGCCTTTCATTGGTACGTGTAGGTTTTGTTTAGGCTGAAAAAAACAAAAGCTGAAAACAGCTTGAGGAACCACCAAGGTTCTAGAGACGCTGGGCTGGGGACCACAGCTCGGGTCGTGCAGTCCAAAGGCTGCTCGATGAGTGGAAAGAGTCCTGTCGTCAGGGGGAGAATCAGAAGAGAGTCTCCACAGACAGAAAACTCTCAGTGTGTTGGGAGCAAGGGCTCCTGCCACTGCAGAGTACCAAGCTGGAGATAACAGATTATATCAAGGACACGCCACACCCCAAGAAAGGGGGGCATTTCTTACCTCTGAAATTTCAGACCCATCTTATTGGCCAGGGCATGGAGCAGCAACACCGTTTGACCCCAGGCAGCATTGATCTCATTCCATTCCACGGGAACACTGGGCAGGCGACCCAGTCGGAAGTTATTGATTGTGCCGAACTGTCCACTGTGCCTGGAGGAAGGCAGGAGGGTGGGGGGAAATACAGGGAGACCTTAACACTCAGCAACTTGAGACTTCCTGCTCGCACCTAAACCCTCACATAAATCTCTCTCCTCATCTCCACATTCATATACCTAAGCTCTACTTGGCACTTTATTTACTTATTTAAGTAAGCTCTATGCCCAACGTGGGGCTTGGACTCACGACCCCAGGATCAAGAGTCGCATGCTCTACCGACTGAGCCAGCCAGGTGCCCCTCTACTTGGCACTTTAAATACATGTCCAAACCCAAGTTGTCATCTCTCTCCTTGTGCTCAGATGCCAAAGTAGAAACGGGGACATCATTCTTGAATGCTTTCTCTCTGCTCCCTCCCCTCAAAAACCACCAAGCTCTCTTGATTGGACTTCCTAAATCTCTTCAATCTACTTCTTTCCAAGCGCAATGCTGCTGCTCTATCTTTTCCTGCTTAGAGTCCTAGGACAAGTCTCCTTACCACTGGCACTGCCCTCCTCCCCCCAACACTTCCCACTCCGCAGGTGAAGGGATCATTCACAAACGCAAATGCTAATTATGTCAGCTCTCTGCCTAAAATGCTTTAGTGGTTTCCACTGCCCTTTGGATGAAGCCCAAATCCCTTCATGAGGCCTACGAGCTCCCGGGGGAACTGGTCACTCTCCAGTTTCATATCCTGTCACTCTCCCCTTTACACTCAATCTCCAGTCACAATAAGCTCCTTTCAGGTCTCTGGACTCATCATTCCCACGTTCCTCTGTTTCTTTGCACATGACGTTCCTCTACCAGGAACAACCCCCCCTGCAGACTTCCACTTCATGTCTCAGCTTCAACATCAACCTCCCCTGGGGCAAACTTTCCATGTGGCCTTCCCAAACTGAGCCAAGTGCCTTTATGTGGCCCCAGAGCCCCCCTGAGGTTCACAGTTACCACGTCGCATTACAACAGCCTATCACATACCCATCCCTTCCACGCGATTCTAAGCAACTAGAAGGTAGAACACATGTTGTGTGCTGTTGCCCTTCTGGTGCTTAACACGCTGCCTGCCATGTACGAGATGCTCAGCAATACTAGTTAAATGGACAAAATGCCGAATAAATACATCAGTGATCCTAGGGGCAGCACCCAGGCAGATGACAAGGTTTTCGTGGGACTGGAGGGCTCAGATCTTTTCCTTTTTCTTGGGGGAGTGGATGTCACCAAGCTCTAGAATTCCAACCCCCAGAGGTGCCTATCCCATCACAGGGAACAAAAGCAGCCTGGACGGGGCGACCGTGTACAGTCTGATTTCGTGGGAGGCGGCCACCTCGGCCTAGTGGTCAGCAGCTAAGGTGCAGGTGTGCCGTGCTCCCCAGGCCCTCCTCACCCTCCAGCCCGCATTACCAGATGTGGAAGGTCGCATTGAAGACATTAGTTTTCTTCAGCTTGTCCAGCTGCATCTGGGCATAACGCATCTGGTTTTCCACACTCTTCAGCTCATCGTCCAGCTCCAGCTGTTGTCGCTTAAATTCACTGTACTCCCTCTGATACCTATGAGCAGCAAGGTGGCCATTGAAGGCTGTTGGTTTGGGGCTGAAATTTCTCTCTCACCATCCCTCATAACAATTTAGTCTGGTGGTTTTGGTGAGACCTAGTTACAGCATCCTTTCCATTTGGCACAGATCCCATTCAAAGGAACATACAGGCCCTAGCTGTTCTGTCTGCAGGGGACAGAAAGGTCTCAAATTCTAGCTGCCCATATGCAAAGGGCAGAGGAAAACAGGACTCTCCTAAACCAAGGCCATGCGCCTCTTGTATTTCTGATCTTTTACAAAAGTGAGGTGAGGGGGTTAAGAGTGGCTTCTTCTGTGAAATGACGGTAATTGAACTTCCAGAACTTCACTTCTGTGCATATAACTGTCCTCTATAGTTAGCATACACCATTTCCAAGGGAACTCATTCACGACTTCGAAAAAAGTAACTTTTTTCTCTGTCCATCACTTCCCCAACTTTAGTTAGTGTGGACACTGGATCTCCTCCTCTGGACAGAGGGCTCTCTCAGGTCAAGATCACCAGTGAGGGGCGCCT